CTTAATTGCAGAATATATTAATAGTCGTTGCTTGAAATATGCTGCACCAACAATTTTGTCACATCATTTGAATAAATGCTTCAAAGATTTATGAACCGGCTGTCTCTCTTCGGGGCACTATTAAAACAATTGTGTGCTTTGTAGCTTAGTCTGTTGTTGATAGATGATTGCAGTAACCGGTACTGCAGTCTCCTGCAGAGCATGGAGAACTAATGTAGTGACTAATAATCTGGGGTAGGTGGTGTGAGTACAAACAGGCAAGGTAGACAAGAGAACGTATCTGCAAGCAGTCTGACTCTTACAATCTATCTATAACAGGACACAGTGTTTAAACAAACAACACGCCAGAAACCTGTAGCCCCTACCAATTCTGTGATTATGCAAGGCCCACAAAACCAACTTAACATTCATGGGTGGCTTTTGGTTTAATAAAGCAGCTCACAGGAACACAAATTGCAGGAGAAACTCAGCAGGTCTGGGCAGCATCTGTGGAGAGAAATCAGAATTAACGATTCGGGTTAATATCACCCCCTTCATCACACACGGTTACAGATCACAGGAGCCCTATGAAGCAAAATTAGACGCAGAGAACTCAAAGAGCAGATGGTCCAAACTTTGGTCAAGGAGTAGATTTTAATAAAACTGTCTTAAATGAGGAGAGAGATGCAGAGAGGTTTGGAGGGAAAACGTCAGAGCTTTATGGTATTTAGGTAGCTAAAGGCATGACTGCAATTAAGTAAGTGATTATAGTTGGGGAGGCTGAACAGGCCAGAATTGGTGGGTTACAGAGATCTCAGAGAGTTGTTGGTCTGCAAGAGGTTACTGTTATACGGAGGGAGAAGGCCATGGAGCAATTTAACACACAAAGGCAAAAGTTAGTTGAGAAACAATTAGCTCCAGCTCAAGAAGAAGATAGATAAGTCAAAAACCCACAGGGCTCTGCACCCTAATTATATGTCGGGATTAACTCACAACTTTGATGTCTCAAAGCACAATACAAGCATATAAATGTTTCTGATTGGCGTTCGTTGTTGCACCTATCACACAGTGTGAAAAGAAATAGGAACAGGAGTTAGAGACGGCAAGAACTGCAGATGCTGGAGTCTGAGATAACACAGTGTGGAGCTGGAGGAACACAGCAGGCCAGGCAGCATCAGAGGAGCAGGAAAGCTGACGTTTTGGGTCAGGACCCCTCTTCAGAAATGGGGAGGGACTAGGGAGCTGGGAAATAAATAGAGAGAAGGGGTCGGGCTGGGGAAAGTAGGTGGGATGGTGATAGGTGATTGCAGGTAGGCAGTGGTGGGGATTGGTTAGTGGGAAGGGAGGGGCAGATTGGTGGGAGAGAAGATGGACAGGTTGTGTCAGGTCAAGGAGGCAGGGATGAGAGGGAGGGTTGGACATGAGATGAGGCTGGGGGTGGGGACACTTAAAAACTGGTGAAATCCATGTTTAGGCCATTGTGCTGTAGGCTCCCGAGGCAGAATATGAGGTGCTCCTCCTTCAGTTTCTGGATGGCGTCGTTGTGACACTGGAGGAGGCCCAGGATGGACATGTCATCCAAGGAGTGGGAGGGGGAGTTGAAATGGTTCGTGACCGGAAGGTGTTGGCGTTTGTCACGAACCGAGCGCAGGTGCTCTACAAAGCAGTCTCCGAGCCTCTGCTTGGTCTCATCAATGTAGAGGAGGCCACATCGGGAGCAGCGGATACAGTCGACCAAGTTAACGGATATACAGGATGTACCTGTCTGATATGAAAGGTTTGTTTAGGGCCTTGAATGGAGGTGAGAGGGGAGGAATTAGTTATTTTGGCCTTTGAGTCTGCTCTGTCATTCAAAAGATCATTGTTACAACAGAAGAGCGTGTTACAATGTGACATGATGCCTGGGTGGCTTGTGTTTGGGGTACAGCAGTGTCACTGTCCCTCCTTCCTACACTAATCTTAAAGGCTGTTACAGTAAGCTCTGGTGGACGATGGACCATTCATAAGCCTCAGGTGGGGAGGCACTTGTCTTTGACAACAAGATGTAGTTGATTACAAATCAGCAATTATATACAACTTGCATGAACTTCTGGCATATTAACTCTCACTATCAAGTGATACATATGCCTTCATCAGGAGACTGGGCCAGAGTCCAGCCAACTGTCTGTTTGCCCTTCCCAATGATCCCTTCATGGCTGTGCTATAAATTAGAACAGGTGAAGTTCCTATTTAACTCTTTCATATCCATCACAACGATCATGGCTGATCTTCTACCCTAACCTCAACTTTCTGCACTATCGAGTTTAGTTTGGGATTATGGTTGCCATGCATTGCTTGGACTGAAGGGACTGTTTCCGTGCTTTATGACTCTAGCTCCCTTGACCTTAATTCCCAGCATTCAAAAATCTACCAGCCTTGCTTGAATATGCTCAGTGACTGAGCATCCACAACCCTCTGACTGAAGAAATCGCCCCTCATCTCAATCCTTAAATGGCTGCCCCCTTACTCTGAGAATGCAAATCTGTGTTCTTGATGGCCCAGCCAAGAGGAATCGTATTATCAACATTTACCCTGCCTGGTGCCTTACAGATGTTCCAGGATTCAACTCGTAACCTCTCATAGGCTTGTCTCTTCAATGTCCCCTCATGGGACAACCCCTTCATCCGAGGAAACAGTCAATGTGCCTTTGTTACACTCTCACTAGGGCAAATATGTCCTCCCATATTGATGCCATGAGCAACTGTTGTAAAACTGTAGAACTGTAGAAATGTAGAACTGTTGTAAAACTTCTTTAATCATATACTCCAGTTCCTTCCTGACAAAACCTAACATATCACTTATCTTCCTACTTGCTCGACTTTACGTGCATATGAACTTTCTGTGATTCATGTACAAAGAAACATTGCCGTTATTGTCAGGGGAGGTGATGGCCCAGTGGTACTATTGCTGGACTGTTAATCCAGAGAACCAGATAACTATCTGGAGACCTGGGTTTGAATACCACCACAGCAGATGATGGAGCTTGAATTCAATAATGACCATGAACCAATTGTCAGGGAAAATCCATCTGGTTCACTAATTCCCTTTAGGGAAGGAAACTGCAATCCCTACCTGGTCTGGCCTATATGTGACTCCAGACCCGCAGTAATGTGGTTGACTCTTGACTGTCCTCTGAGTGGTAAATACTGTCTGGTCAGTGACACCCTCATCCAATGAATTAAAAAAAAATCCACCTTTTATTTTGATGTGCAGAATCATGTAAAAGGCCCTTTGGCCCATTGAGTCTATACCATCAAAAATACAGTATTAGCTACACAAGCCCCACTTCCCTATAGTAGGCCCATAGCCTTGATTGTTATGATATTTAAAGTTCTCAGCCAAGTACTTTTTAAAGTTTGTCAGGTTTCCCGCCTCAACTACCCTCCCAGGCTGTGCATTCCAGACCCTTATCATCCTCTGTGTGAGAAGGTTTTTCCTCAAATCCCCTCTAAACCTTCTGCCCTTCACTTTAAAATTATGCCCCCTTATTGTGTTATTGACCAAGCACTAAGGGGAACAGCTGCTTTCTATTCTCTTGTCCATAGCCCTCATAATCACATACGCCTCTATCAGGTGCCCTCTCAAAACCTCTCTGCTCCAGAGAAAACAACCTGAGCTTATCCAGTCCCTCCACATCGTTGAAATGCTGCATCTCAGGCAACATCCTGGTGAATCTCCTCTGCACTTCCTCCAGTTCAATCACAACTTTCTGATAGTGAAGTGACCAGAACTGCGCACAGTACTCCAGCTATGGCCTAACCAGAGTTCCGCAGCAGTCATGTGGTGATGAAACTCTTTGAACATTTACTACTTTAAATTGCCGTCAGGACACTCCTACTTTGAAAGTCATTTTGACCACAAACATTTTCTTTTTAATTATTAATGATGCTTCTTCTACCTCCTGGTCGTCGAACAGCAGACAACAAGCTTGTCACCAGTCTCCTCGGAGACTATATGAAAGTGCTGTGAGGTAACACTGTTCTGCAGTCAATTGTTTTGGTTTTAAGCAGAATTATTCGTCAGCTATGACACGTTCAAGGAATCAATATTCAGGATCCCATGCAAGTGCATTTGTTTAAATTCAAAGGGTTTGTTTGTCTCCAATTTCTCAAGCTGGAAACTGAGCCCACAGTCAGTATCATTAGCTGGTAGAAATGGTTAGTTTAGACACTGGTTAGCACATTCTTAGACAGGACTGTATTTTCAACTGTTGAGTCTGTAAAAGAGCAGTAACAGCAGTAACACCATCATAACAATGAAAATCTGATCAGGTAGACAATTAATTAAAATTAGTGTCTTATAGTCAATTAATTAGAGAGAAATTAACATTGGGTTATGAGTTCAAACTTAAGAGTGAGGGACCTGTCTGAGCAGGGAGAGAGGAAAGAGAGAGGAGGAGAAGTTTAGAGAAAGAGAGAGGAGGGAGCAGGGAGAGGGAGAGGGAGAAAGGAGATGAAGACAGAACGAAGGGAGAGTGTGGTGAATTAGGAAGACAATAAGAGGGATGAGAAATGGAGGTTAATTAGACAGAGGGTGGAGAGTGAGAGAGAGAAGAGTGTGGGAGAGTCAGGGGAGAGAGAGAGACAGTAATTGGGAGTGAGCTGAGAGAGAATCAATAAAATGGATTGGGCAGGGAGGGAGATGGGAAGTGGGGAGGGAGATGGGAAGTGGGGAGAGAGATGGAAAGTGGGGAGAGAGATGGGAAGGGGGGAGCAGAGATGGGAAGGGGGAAGCAGAAATGGGAAGGGGGAAGCAGAGATGGGGAGGGAGCTTTTTTGGCCATATTCTCCTCCTGCTGGTTGATACAAGTTGCATCACACCAACCACTATCTTAGATGATGAGATAAATGAACTCACGTTAAACCAGGTTAAGCGAAATTGGTTAATTAGATGTTGCTTTTACTGGGTTAACTACCGAAGGAGTTCAAATCCGCAATTACAATGAGGCTTTGCAAACTTCGCCTCAGTTCTCTTTGACTCACGTGCACAATAGGGAAGTCTGGAGGTCCATTGTGGGGTACCAGTCTCACGGCTGTAGCAGGTTATCAGCGCATTTCCATCCAGTATGAAGCCTGGGTCACAGCTGAATTGTATCGTGGACCCCACCAGTAGCTTGGTATCAGAAATGGAGCGACTGGCATGTTTGACTTCCCCAGGATCTGTGCAGTACATAACTTGAGCAAGAGAGAGAAAGGGACAGACAGAGAATTTAAACCTTTAGTGCTACTATTCATGGGCTGCATCATAGAGATGCTTCATTTGATATACAACATGCTACAATGACCAGATTATGTCAAAACCCTAAAACGGAGATGAGTTATACTCACTCTTGCTAAGAAAGGGCGTAATGCACAAGTTCACAAATGATTTATGTGTATGATTTACGGTTTATGATTTAATCGTATTAGAACTTAACGATGGAAATATATCATGTGATTAATTGGAGTGCTTCAACTTCCCCAGAGTATGCACAGTACACCTTATTATAGGCTCTGCCTCCAAGCCCCAGTTCATTTGATTTTCGGGGGAAAAATGCCCACTCTTATTACTGCTTGTTTTCCAAGCGTGATCAAACAAAGACCCATCCTCTCATTCCTTATGGGGATCCTGGAGCCTCATTACCCTGACTATTTTCCTTTCTTTACTCTTGGAATCATGATATGTGTTCCCATTGGTTCATCATCAACTGGATACAAGCTGGTTACACACTCCAGCCTCTTGTGGATAACCCATGTTCACTTGTTCTCACTGAAATACCTGCACAGAGGCTAATATCCCATCATCAACCACCTTTAACACTGATTACCCTCAAGCCAGAAGATCGACCCTGGTTCAATGGAGAGTGCAGGAGGGCATGCCAGGAGCAGCACCAGGCATACCTGAAGATGAAGTGTCAACCTGATGAAGCTACCAAACAGGACTACTTGCACGCCAAACAGCATAAGCAGCAAGTGATAGACAGAGCTAAGTGATCCCACAACCAACAGATCAGATCTAAGCTCTTGCTCAATTCTGCCACATCCAGTTGTGAATGGTGGTGGACAATTAAACAACTCACTGGAGGAGGAGGGTCCACAAATAACCCCATCCTCAATGATGGAAGAGCCCAACACATCAGTGCAAAAGATAAGGCTGAGGCTTTTGCGACAATCTTCAGCCACAAGTGCCAAGTGGATGATCCATCTCTGTCTCCTCCAGTGGTCCCCAGCTTTACAGATGCTAATCTTCAGCCAATTTGATTCACTCCATGTGATATTAAGAGATGGTTGGAGACACTGGACACTGCAAAGTCTCTGGGCCCTGACAACATTCTGGCAATAGTACTGAAGACTGGTGCTTGAGAACCTGCCACTCTCCTAGCTAAGCTGTTCCAGTACAATTGCAACACTGGCATCTACCTGACAATGTGGAAAATTGCCCAGGTATGTCCTGTACATAAAACGCAGGACAAATCCAACCTGGCTAATTATCATCATTGAATCCCTACAGTGTGAACACAGGCCCTTCAGCCCAACAAGTTCACACCAACCCACAGAACATCTCACCCAGGCCCATCCCCCTATAAACCACCTGACCTACACATCCCTGAACACTACAGCCTGCCCATCTTTGGACTGTGGGAGGAAACCAGAGCATCCAGAGGAAACTCACACAGACACAGGGAGAACATGCAAACTCCTCACAGACAGTCACCCAAGGGTAGAATCAAACCTGGGTCCCTGGCACTGTGAGGCTACAGTGCTAACCACTGAGCCACTGTGCTGCCCAATTACTGCTCCATCAGTCTACTCCCGATCATCAGTAAAGTGATGGAAGGTGTCATCAACAGCACTATCAAGCAGCGCCCGCTCAGCAATAACCTGCTCAGTGATGCCCAGTTTGGGTTCTGCCAGGGCCACTCAGCTCCTGACATCATTACAGCCTTGGTTCAAACATGGACAAAACAGCTGGATTCCAGAGGTAAGGTGAGAGTGACAGCCCTTGATATCAAGGCTGCATTCGACTGAGTGTAGCATCAAGGAGCCCGAGAAAAACTGGAATCAGTGGGTATCAGGGGGCAAACTCTCTGGTTGTTAGAGTCATACCTAACACAAAGAAAGAAAGTCATGGTAGTTAGAGGTCAGTCATTTTAGCAGCAGGACATTTTTGCAGGAGTTCGTCAGGGTAGTGTCCTTGGCTCAATCATCTTCAGCTGCTTCATCAATGACCTTCCCTCCATCATAAGGTCAGAAGTGGGGATGTTTGCCGATGATTGCATAATGTTCAGCACCATTCATGACATCTCAGATACTAAAGCAGTCCGTGTTCAAATGCAACAAGATCTGGACAATATTCAGGCTTGGGCTGACAAGTGGCAAGTGACATTCGCGTCACACAAATGCCAGGCTACGACCAGACAATCTAACCACCACCCCTTGACATTCAATGACGGTACCATCACTGAACAACCCAGCATCAACATCCTGGGGGTTATCATTGACTAGAAACTCAACTGGACTCACCACATAAATATGTGGCTACAAGAGCTGGACAGAGGCTGGGAATACTGAGGTGAGTAACTCACCTCCTGACTCCTTAAAGCCTGTCCACCATCTACAAGGCATAAGTCAAGAGTGTGATGGAATACTCCCCCACTTGCCTAGATGAGTGCAGCCCCAACAACACTCAAGAAGTTGGATACCATCCAGGACAAAGCAGCCCGCTTGATTGGCACTACATCCACAAGCATCTACTCTCTCCACCTCTGATACTCAGTAGCAGCAGTGTGTACTATCTGCAAGATGCACTGCAGAAATTCACCAAAGATCCTCAGACAGCACCTTCCAAACCCACAACCGCTTCCATCTAGAAAGACAAGGGCTACAGATACACAGGAACACCACCATGTTCAAGTTCCCTTCACCATCTTGAGTCACTCACCACCCTGATTTGGAAATATATCGCCGTTCCTTCACTGTCTCTGGGTCAAAATCCTGGAATTCCCTCCCTAATGGCATTGCGGGTCAACCCACAGCAGGTGGACTGCAGCGGTTCAAGAAGGCAGCTCACCATCATCTTCTCAAGGGCAACTAGGGATGGGCAATAAATGCTGGCCAGCCAGCGATACCCACATCCCTCTAATGTATACATTTTAAAACAATCCAACTCCCTCAGAGTGAGCAGGATGTCTGACATCCTGTTCTTATCTGTCAGCCAGGGCTCCCTGATTGGACCAGATTAACAGCCCCAATCAGGGAACTCCTTTTCTGTGTGGTCCACCTGGCTGACCTCATTACAATCACTACACTCCCTGTGCTGAAAATAAACAAATGGAGGGTGAAGGTTTGTCTGAAGATCCACTGTCATTACAGTTTGGGACGGTGGAACAGACGACAAGTGTTTAGAGCTGTGTTGAGTTGTTGAGAGTTTAAGCATATTGCTTTCTGCTTTTGTCTTTGTTCCAATAGTTTGTTACCTTCAGGAGCTCTGCAATGATGAATTTCCCTGCCGCATACATCGAGTTTCTCCCCTACCCCAATGCCCCCACACACGTTGTGCTATAGGGATGTGGATCAAGCCTGCTCTCCCATTCAATAAGACTATGGCTGCTTTGTTCATTTTTTGAATTCCACACTTGTGTCTACCACTGATAAACCTTCATTCCCCTGCCTAATAATCTATCTATCTTTGCCTTAATAATATGCAATGATTCAGTCTCCACTAACTTCTGAGGCAGTGAGATCCATAGTGACTTAAACTTCAGAGAGAACGTTTTCCCCCATTTCTGTCCTGAAAGAGTGACCCTTCATTTTAAAACAGTGTCCTCTAGTTCTGGACTGATTCACAAGAAGAATCTTCTTTTCCACATCCACCTTATGAAGACCATTCAGGTTCTTATACACTCCAATCAAGTTACTCCTCACTCTTCTAAACTCCAGTGGAAACAAACCCAGCCTGTCCAACCTTTCCTCATAAAACAATCAATTCATTTCAGTTATCAATCAAATAAACCTCTTCTGAACCATCTCCAATACATTTACATTCTTCCTGAAATAAGTAGACAAAAGCTGCACACAGTATGCACGATATTGTCTTACCAACCCTCTGTTTAAGTGAAGCATAATATCCTTACTTTTATGTTCAATTCCTCTTGTAATAAAGGATAGCCTTATCCCATTAGACTACTTGTGCTGTACCTGCATACTAACTTCTTGTGGCTCCTGCAGCAGAATGCTTAAATCGTTGTGTACCTCAGAATTCTGCAGTTGTTGTCCATTTAAGTAATAATCTGCTTTTTTCACTCTTTCTGTCAAAGTACAATTTCACACTTTCCCACATTATCCGACATATTTTGCCCATTCACTCAACTTTGCTGTATCCGTTTCCAAATTCCTTATGTATTCTTCATTGCATATTGTTCTACCTATCTTACTATTATCTGTGAATTTAGCTACCATTTAGCTCCTCTCATCTATGTCTTTGATGTAAATTGTAAACAGTTGACACATCAGCATGGACCCCGATGGGATTCCACTCATCACTTCCTGCCAACAAGACAAAGACTTATTTTTGCAAACTCTCTGTTTTCTGTCAGCCAGCCAATCTTCTATCCATACTAGTATGTTACCACCTGTACCATGAGCTTTTATATTCCCTAACAACCTTTGATGAGTTCCTTTATCAAATGCCTCATGAAAATTGAAGTCTACAGGCTCCCTTTATCCACAGCACTCATTCAAAGGTGAAGGTTAAAGTTTGGTTAAACATAGTTTCCCTTTGGCAAAACCTGCTAACTCTTGCTGATTACCCTGTGATTTTCTAATTGTGTAGCTATACTCTCTTTAATGATCGATTCTAACACCCTCACCATGATAGAAGTCAAACTAACTGCATGAGAGTTTCCTATAGTCTACCTCCCCTTATTCTAGATGAGAAGAATAATATTTATTCCTTTCCAGTCTGATGGAGCTTTTTTTAATCTATGGAATTTTGGAAAATTAACACTAACGCATCACTAACAACCTAAATTTAAGACTCTGGAATAAGGACCATCAGACCAAAGAATAGACAGCCCAGGTCTCCATCAGTTTGCTTCGTGATTGTAATTTCGCTAAGTTCCTCTTTCCTTTCCACCCCCGATTTACTGTTACTCATGGAAACTTTTTCACATTCCCTGTTGTGAAAATGGAGCAACATATTTGTTCATTACATCTACCATTACCTTATTATCATGTATTAACTCCTCATTCTCAATCTGTGTAGGACCAATACTCTTTTCCTTTGTAAATGCCTCTCGAAACTCAGCTATCTGTTTTTATATTCTTAGCTAACTTCTCTCATGCTTTAATTCCTTCCTTGAGATTAACCATTCAGTCTTTCTCTGCCAATCTTCAAATTCTGACTAATTATCTGACTTGCCACTCACTTTTGCACAATCATATGCTTTTCCCTTAAGTTTAATACTTCCCCTAACTTCTTTAGTTAACCTAAGAAAGTAGCTCCTCTCTTTAGAATTTTTCTGATAAGATTATCTTTCTGACATATCCTATATAGTTAAAGAACTGAACAATAGATTCTTGATAGGTAAAGGAATCAAGGATTATGTGGAGAAGGCAGGAGAATGGGGTTGAGAAAGATATCAGCCATGATCGAATGGAGGAGCAGACTCTAGTCTACCCTCACAGCACAGACATTGACATGAGAAATGACTCAAATGATTCTTCTTTGCAATACTCCTCACGTTCCAAGTGTGATTGTCCTTTCTGCTTCTTGGCGACCAGACCTGGAATTAATGCTCAAGGTGTGTTCTAACCAGAACTCAGTATTATTTGATTATAACACAGTGTGGAGCTGGATGAACACAGCAGACCAGGCAGCATCAGAGGAGCAGGAAAGCTAACATTTCGGGTCGGGACTCATCTTCAGAAATCATAGCTCCCTCTGACTTGAATTCTACTATATTGGCTGTGGGTGAACATCCTATTCGTTTATCTGATTGCTGTTCGAGATGGTGAGTCTATCACTCTCCAAGGTTTCTTTCAATTTCATCTGTACATATTTCAACACCTTTCATAGATTACACATGTTGCTCATTTACCCGCCAATCTGCAGCGCTTCACACTTGTCTGATTTTAATTTCATCTGATAACACAAGGATTGGTTGCAGAGTAAATAGTGAAGAGGAATTAAAAAGTCTGTAAACGGATATAGGCAGGTGATGTATAAATTTGGCAGATGGAGTATAATGTGGGAAAAGTGAACTTTTCCATATTTGCAGGAAGAGTAGAAAAGCAGCATTTTATTTAAATATGGGGATATTGCAGACCTTCGGGTTACAGAGGGATCTGGGTGTCCTGGTATGTGAATCACATGAAGTTAGTTTGTAGGTACAACAAGCAATTACAAGGCAAATGGAATGTTGTCAATTATTGCAAGGGGACTGGAAATTAAATATTTTGCTACGGTTGTACATAGTGGAATGCTGTGTACAGTTTTGGTCCTTTTATTGAAGCACAGATATAATTGTCTTAGGAGCTTCACTCAAATGATTCCTGAAATGAAGGGACTATCAATGAGAAAGGCACGGACAGGTTGGGCCTTCATTCATTGGCATTTTGAGGTATGAGAGGTGATGTTATTGAAAAATTCTGAAGATACTTGATAAAGTAGATGCTGATAGGATTTTACCCTTGCAGGACAGGCTATAAGTAGGAGGATTCAAAATACAAGGATCCATTTAAGACGGAGATGAGGAGAATATTTTTCTCCTCAGAGGATGGTTAGTCTGTGGGATTCTCTTCTCCAGAGCACAGTGGAGGCTGGGTCACTAAATATATTCAATGTTCAGTTAGACAAATTCCTGATTGATAAGGGATTCAAAGGATAAAGGGCAGGAAAGTGGGTTGAGGCAACTACCAGACAAGCTGCGTTCTTATCCAATGGTGGAATAGGCTCGAGGAGTGGAATGGCCTACCCCTGTTCACTAAATTGTTTACATGCATTTTCATATCTGCCATTGTTCAGCCCAAGCATATTTTGCATTATCTTAATTTCTAATGTCTGGTTGTCCTCTCGGATTCCACTGCTGTCTTACCATTGGCCTTTCAGTTTCTACTGCGTTTCTGCATTCCAGTCATTGAGGGAGAGTAGAAAGAGCATTGGTGCCAATTCTGGACCTTTGGGGCAAACCCTCAGTACTTTTCCACTCTGATACTTTCCTTTTCACTAGTCCATATTTTTCCTACTATTCAGCCAATTTGTGAGCAATGCAGGTATTTTTACTTGAATTTCCACAGCTTTCAGCTAAGTTAATGTGCTTTCATGTGAAAATTTACCAAAAGCCTTTGGTGATTCTAAATATACACCATTGTAATGTTCAACACAGTTGACTCGCTTTGTCACAATGTGTACATTGCCTTTGAGAGAATTCACCTTAAAAGAGTCCATGTGTTATGTGTATATAATGTTGTGACTGCCTGCCAGTTAGTCTGCTATAGGTCTGCAACCTGCACAAACAGAAACGTGTTGGTTTGCGGTGATGTCTGCTCCATAACTTGTAATGTGTTTTGCTGTTTTGAATAAGCTAACCCATGAAATTAGATAGACCTGCGATGGATTGCAAGATCATTGTCATTAATGTGGCAGCTATCGCCTCAAAGAAATTAAGGGGAAACTGAATCTGGTTGGATTCATATAAGTTTAATCGGCTCATAGTTGCCCACAAGTTGGCTGAATCAATTGGATGTGGGGAAGCAAAGTCAGTCAGGCCTGCATTCCTAAGATTATTTGTTCGGCTATTAATCCAGAGACTCAGATAATGTTCTGGAGACATTAGGCTCGAATCCTGCCATGGCAGATGGTGGAATTTGAATTCAATTTTAAAAGGATCTGGAGTTGATTATGACCATGCAACCGTTATCAACTGTTGGGCAAAATCTCATTTGTTTCATTAGGGAAGGAAACTGCCATCCTTATCTGGTCTGGCCTACATGTGATAGCAATGTAATGATTCTTGCCTGCCCTTTGGGCAATTAGGGATGGGCAATGAATGCTGGCCTGGGTAGCAATGACCTCATTCTGTGAATAAATAATGAAAAAATAAATATGCAGAAGGTTGAAGGTCATGGCCATCATTTGCAGGGTCATTTGGCTGACAGATGATTGAAAGCTTTTGATTTCTCTCTCAAAGCGAGGGCCACCTTTCTTGATCTGAGTGGAGTCAGAAACAACAGAACAATGCCCACCTTTTCACAAAATGCTGTCAGTTCTGACAAAGGGTCACTGGACTCGAAACGTTAGCTCTATTTTTCTCTCCACGATAACTGTGTCACGGAATGCAGCTCTATTCATTTTATTAACATATTCATTGAGTAAATGCGTAGCTCCAGGTTCAGTAACAGAAGAACGCACCCCACTATATTCACTAACATGCCAATTATATCCGCTGGTCTGGATTATATTGACTGTCCAGTTTGGACGTATTTGAACTGTAGTGTGGATTGCTGACCTTTCTATCCCAAGTTCTGACAGACAGATCCACCAACTGAGAGCACTGTAGCGTTAAAAGCAGCTTGAATTTATCTTGCATTAATACATGGTTGTCATATCAATCACTGGTTTACATTGCTGTTCATGGTAGTAAAATAATAGATTGCTTGTGGAGCCTAAGTAATAGTTCATTCGGGGTATATTGCTCATACAGTATCTACTGAGCATCAGTCAAAGTTTTGCTCACCAGAAATGGTAGACAATATCAGCAATGCTAATGATGTGAAAATCCTCCCAGCATTTCCCTGAGAATGCACCTCAACCCCTTGATCCATAAAATATTAGTTATAGGGCATGGCATTAGAAAATGGTTTCAGCTAGTGTTGAAAATGCTATTCTACAATTGTGTGTTCATCAAAGCACAATAATGTACCAGTCACCAGGCTCCTATCGTGGTAATGTTCACAAAGAGACCTGTAGATGGTATTTACACAGGAGGTTTGGTAGCATGGTACCTTCAACACATTATAAAAATGAAAATAGACAATGTGTTGGACGTAATGGCATACAACTAATTTTTGAGAGTCTTCTACCTCTTATCCAATTCTACAGGTCAGCACAAGTCCTTGTAGCAGCTTTCTTCGAGAGGCATTTTTGTATTTCAATGATAGATGCACACTACTAAAGTGTTCCCTTATAGGTGTAAACCAGTTTGGGTAAGAGCAATGTAGGACAATGGACTCTGCTTACTTTTTTCACAGAATGGGGGATCACTGCTCCATGTGAGATCCCACTGGCAAGTCAGGGTGTCACTTCCTAAGATGTCGTATCCTGGGTCACACTGATAGGTTATCATGGTGCCACGGACCATTTCTCTGTGAGGAGTCGTTTTCCAGCCATTGGGAATCTCTGGAAGGTCTGAGCAGGTGTCGTTCCGCGAAACCTCTGCAAGGAGGAGGAAAGACAAATTTAGGAATCAAAGATCAAACAGATTGATTTTCATTCCTCACGTCAATTTAACCTGCAATGGGAGATTCTAAGCTATGAAAGGGTGTGATTTCACAAGTGTCAAGCCATGACTCAGTTGGCAGACCTTTCCTCCACAGGGTGTAGGTTTATACACCTGGTCCTCAGACTCATACATGAAATCTAGGCTGTTATTCTGTATGCTAATGGTGGAATGCTGCACACTCTTGGATCAGATATAACAAGGTGTAGAGCTGGATGAACGCAGCAGGCCAAGCAGCATCAGAGGGGCAGGAAAACTGACGTTTCGGGTCTAGACCCGAAACGTCAGCTTTCCAGCCCCTCTGATGCTGCTTGGCCTGCTTTGTTCATCCAGCTCTACACCTTGTTGTATCAGATTCTCCAGCATTGGTAGTTCCTACTATCTCTGACACTCTTGGATCAGCTGCCTTTGAGATTAATTACTAAACTGAGGCTTTGCAGGAATCAAAGTTTCCACAGTACGACTTCAAATAAAGTTTTCCTGAGATCCCAATTGGTCTTTACATTTTCCACTAAAAAAAAGTTCCAAAAGCAGCAATGTTACAATGACTAAAAAAAAATCTGTTGCAGGGATGTTGGTTAAAGGATAAAGATTGGCACCAGCTGACCTCCCTGCTCTTCTTCAAAAGTAGGTTTAAGGTGAGAGAGGAAAGGGACCTAAAGGACAGAGGGTGGTGCCTATGTGGAATGAACTGGCAGAGGGAGTGGTAGAGGCGGGTACAATTACAACATTTAAAAGTCCATTTGGGTGCATATATGAATAGGAAGGGTTTAGAGGGATATGGGCCAAATGCTGGCAAATGGGACCAGATTAATTTAGGATATCTGGTTGGCATGGATGAGTTGCTGTATATCTCAATGATTCTATGTAATGCATTGTTCACCTGAGAGGACAGGCAGGGATTCGACTTAATATACTATGGCACCTCCATCTGTGCAGCACTGCCTCAGTACTGCACTGTTGCTGCGGATTATATGTTCACATTTCAGGGAAAGGTGAAACCTAATTGCACAAAAAAAACTGCTCTGCCTTTAACAATAAGCTTTCAGTCGCATGATACAGAATCACAGAATGATAACAGCTCAGGAAATGATAATTCAGCCCATTCTACCTGTGTAGGAACATAGGAACAGGAATAGGCCATTCAGCCCTTTCAGCCTGTTCCACCATACAATGAGATCATGCCTGATCCATGACCTAGCTCCATAAAAGTGCCTTTGGCCCTTATCCCTTTATACCTTTGCTTTAAATCTATCTCAGAATTAAAATTAACAACTGATTCAGCATCCACTGCCATTTGTGGAAGGGAGTTCCAAACATCCACCATCCTTTGTGTGTAGAAGTGCTTCCTAACACCTCTCTTGAACTGTCTGGCCCTAATTCTCAGACTATGTCCCCTAGTTGTAGAATCCCCAACCAGTAATGGGAATAGTTTACCTATACCTAAAACAAAAATAAAACAAAGAACTGCGGATGCTGGAGATCTGAAACAAAAACACAAATTGATGGAGAAATTCAGCAGGTCTGGCAGTGTCTGCTGAGAGAAAGCAAAGTCAACATTTTGGGTCCAGTGACCCTTCTTCAGAACTGATTGTAGCTAGCAAAAGGTTGGTACATATGCTGAAGATCGTTATTTCCCTTACCTTTCTCACTCGCACCACAATCTTCTCTAATAACTGTACATAATCTTCCTTTCCAAACGATAACTCAATTTCCTCATAAAATGACCTCAATTGACTCTGCTGCTACCACACTCAAAGGCGGTGCATTTCAGATCCTGACCTCTCGCTTTGTGAAAAGGCTTTTCTTCATGTGGACATTGCCTTGTTTTGCTAACACCAAATCTGTACCTTAGTCTGAGGCAGCCCTGCAATGGTCTCGGCATTCTCCTCTTCATGTACCCTAATTATTTATGAGGAGAAAGGAAATTATGCAAGAACAAAAATTGAAGCTGCTCAATTATATTATTCAGGGGAAATGTGATTAATATTTTTTCCGTCTGTTTGATATACAGCAATGTGTCGGGCTATAAATCAAAGCAAATGAAGCAAGAAAGATTGTAAAATTGTTCTGACACTGGCAGATGTAAAACCATCACATCTAAGACAGTGCAAGGCTAATACTGGTTTGCATGTAGGAATGTTTTTGGCCAAATCCTGTCAGATCACATGCCCCAGGCCATTCCCTAGCCAAGCTGTTCTAGTACAGCTACAACACTGGTATTGACCAGATGATGTGAAAAAATCATCCAGGTATGTCCTGTACACAAAAAGCAGGACAAATCCAACCCAGCCAATTACTGCCCCATCAGTCTAATCTCGATCATCCGTAAAGTGATGGAAGGCGTCATCAACAGCGCTATCAAGCCGCACCTGCTCAGCAATAAGCTGCTCATCAGTTCCTGGCCTCATTACAGCTTTAGTTTAATCATAGAGAAAAGAACTGGATTCCAGAGGTGAAGTGGGAGTGATGCCAAGGCTGTATTTGACCGAGTACGGCATCATGCAGCCCTCGCAAAACTGGAATCAATGGGAATCAAAGGGAAAAATCTCTGCCATTTAGAGTCATACCTAGCATATCGGAAGACGGTTGTGGTTGCTGGAGGTCAGTCATCTCAACTCCATGACTTCTCTGCAGGATTTCCTCAGGATAGTGTCCTCGGCCCAACCATCTCCAGCTGCTTCATCAATGACCTTCCGTCCATCATAAGGTCAGAAGTGGGGATGTTTTCTGGTGGCTGCACAATGTTCAGCACCATTTGTGACCTCTCTGATACTGCAGGCTTGGGCTGATAAGCAGCAAGTGGCATTCACATCACAGAAGAGACAGGCAGTGACCGTCTCCGAAAAGAAAGAATCGAAGCATCAGGCCCTGACATTCAGCATCACTGAATTCCCAATATCAACAACCTGGGGTTACCATTGACCAGAAACTGAACTGGACCAGTCATATAAATGATGTGGGTACATGAGCAGGTCAGAGACTTGGAATACTGCAGCAAATAACTCATCTTCTGACTCTTCAAATTATCTCCACCATCAAGGTGCAAGGTGCAAGTCAGGTATGCGATGGAATACTCACCACTTGCCTAGATGAGTGCAGCCCCAACAACACTCAAGAAACTTGATACCATCCAGGACAAAGCAGCCCTTTTGATTGGCACTACATCCACAAACATTCACTTCCTCCACCACCGACGCTCAGTAACAGCAATGTGCACTATCTACAAGATGCTCTGCAGAAACTCACCAAGAGCCCTTAAACAGCACCTTCCAAATCAGTGACCACTACCATCTAGAAGGACAAGGCCAGCAGATACATGGGAATAGCACCACTGCAACTTCCTGTCTGAGCTGCTTACCATATTGACTTGGAAATAAATCATTGTTATGAACCCTGGAACTCACTCCCCTAACAGCATCTGTCCCTGCCCAGAATGGATTGCAGCGGCTCAAGAAGGCAGCTCACCAGTGCCCTCTCAAGGGCAACTGGGGATGGGTAATAAATGCTGGCCCAGCCAGTTACACCCAAATCCCATAAAATAAGTAAAATACTACTTAAATGGTAAACACTCTTTCCCAATGTGTTCCAGGTTCACCAGCCTGCGATAAGTTACTGGTTTTCACTTGGTGTTTTGTAATTGAAATCCCTCTAACTAAATCAGTGAGGCCTTGTTGTGCAGTGGGTTGCACCTCTGTCCCTGAGCCTGAAGCACTGGGTTTGTGACAGCCACATAAGGTAGATTATAATGCAGTGGGACATGCTGAGTATCAATCTGCAAATCCTTTCAACGCACACCAATGGCAGGCAGTAAGAGCAGGAGAGGTACCTGGTCAGCCGTGTGATAGAAAGGACATTGGAGCCTCTACCATCACTATCCACAACACCAGGCTACAACATGTAGGTATAAGCGTAACTTGCCCCAGCAACTCAAGGAAGATGATGGCAACGTGGCATTGTCGCTGGGCTAGTAATCCAAAGGAGCCAGCTAATGATTTGGTGACATAGGTTCATATCCAACCACAGCAGCTGGTGGAATTTAAAAATCCGATTAATAACATTTGAAATTGAAAAATAGTCTCATGGAACTAACAATGATTGTCACTAAAATTCTACCTGCCTCATTAGAGTCCTTTAGGGAAGGAGGTCTGGTCTGGTTTACATGTCACTGCAGACTTACAGGAATGCTGGTTGATTTGTAACTGCCCTGGGAAATGGCTGAGCAGTCATTTAGTTCAAGGGCAACTTTGGATGGGAAACAAATATTGACAATAACATCCACATCCCAAAAAAGAATAAAAGTAAAATCTCTCTGGGTGGACTATAACACATTATGGCCACCACTGAGTTATTTTTCTTTCTTCTATGAAACTCTCCATTGCAGCAAAAATGGGTGAAGTACAAGGGAAACACTCCTGCCTCTGTAATCAGAAAGTTGTGTGCCGATGTCCTGCTCCAGTTATTTGAATGCAAAATCTAGGCTGACATTCTGCTGTGATACTGAGAGAGCACTTCACTGACAGTCTTTTGGATGAGGTATAAAATGAGGCCCTGTCTGTCTTCCCAAATGGACATAATTATTTATCACTCAGGTAACATCGCTAAAGTAGATTTTCTAGTTTTAACAGCTCCAATTTGTGGAAGCTACCCGCGCATGTTTCCCAGCCTTTGCTCACAGTTGTATAAGGCCTAAAAGATTTAATACTAAGGAGTGTGTTAGGCACCATCCGCTATGATGATGTTATACAGACCCAGTGGGAGAATAGCTCTTGAAGGAAATCCAAACCCTCTTTCTAGCCTCTGTTACAATATCTATCACATCACTTGCACTTGGTGCTAAGATGCTATAAACTAAATCTTGCTTAAGTATAGAGCCGTTTCTTGTTAGATTATGCAGTGATTTTCCCTACCACACCAGCAGGCCTTGTAAATCCCTGCACTAAAAGAAGCTGATTTATTAATTTTGTGGGATGTGGGTGTCGCTGGCTGGCCAGCATTTATTGCCCATCCCTAGTTGCCCTTGAGAAGATGGTGGTGAGCTGCCTCCTTGAACTGCTGCAGTCCACCTGCTGTGAGTTGACCCACAATGCCCTTAGGGAGGGAATTCCAGGATTTTGACCCAGCAACAATGAAGGAACAGCAATATATTTCCAAGTCGGGGTGGTGAATGGCTTGGGGGGGAAACATGAAGTTGTTGGTGTTCCTGTGTATCTGCTGCCCTTGTCCTTCTGGGTGGAAGTGATCGTGGGTTTGGAAGGTGCTGTCTGAGGATCTTTGGGAAATTTCTGCAGTGGGAAGAAAACCCACCGAATGTTGAGCAATACTATGAATAGCTTTATACAATATGGTGATCGGCAGGGGGTGGATTGCTCATTCAAGAACAATGAGGAGGGAAGGAGCCTAGTGTGTGGTGGAAAAGGCAAGCAAGAGGCAGGGAGCAGTAAGTGGCAAACAAATAAAAAAAAATTTCATTATCGAGAAATATTTACCTGCATTATGTTATTATAATATTTATCACGCGTGTGGTAATGAGAGGGATAGTTAAAAATGAAACTCTCTAGAGGTTTGCAAATTGTGTGTATGATCAATAACTGTTCAGAATCTCTGCTCTACCGTTCAGTTAATGACTGGGCTAGGATTTGGTGGTGTTGAATAGTCTCATTGTGTAGCCTCACAGCTGACGTATGGTTACTCAGTTCGATAGCAGAGAGCCATATTATCTGCTGAACCAGACCACAGCTTGAGTCAGTACCTTGTGGAGAGGAGGGGGAGGAAACGAGAGGAGAAAGTCCAAGTCAAAACAAAGCAAGGCAGAGAGCACCAGGTGTCTGGCTGCGATGTTGAAGCAATAATTCAATCCCATGGCTCCACTCACGCTCATAAATCACTTAAGCTTCATTTTTTCTGTTTATATCAAACCAGCCAAGAATGAATTACTGCCTTATACATCACTGCCAACAAATTTACTGTCTTGTAATTATACAGTTTAGAAGTGTCTATTAATGACTTAGTTTAATTGAAGCCTTTGGATGTGTTTACTTGCTACCTCTAGATTGTCGCTGCTGTGAATACATTAAAATACTCATCTGACAAGAAAACGGACTGTTCTGGTTATGAGGTTGTGAGTACCTCTCAGAAAACCACGTATTACAGTCAAGTGATAAGGTGTTTGCAACAAAGAGACCATTTTATTTTCTCCTTCCTTTTTTTAACCAATGCCAGTTTTATTCCTTTCATAGATTCATACTGCACAGGAGAAGGCTTTTCTGCCCATTCTGTCTGTGCTAGCTCTTTGAAAGAGCTGTCCAATCAGTCTCACTTCCTTATATTTTTCTCAATTGCTTTCCTTTTCATTTGTTTATCCAATTCAGTGTTGAAAGTTACTATTTAATCTCCTACCTCTGCTCTTCTAGACTCTGTTTTTCTGACAGTAACAAACTGCTGTGCCCAACAAAAATACTCTCCCTCTCCCTCTGGTCCTATACCAATGATTTTAAATCTCTGTCCCCAGGTTACCAACTCTGCTTTCAGCGGAAACTGATTTTCCCTAACTAGTGAAAACTCTTCCCAATTGATAAAGCTGTTTAATTCTCTCGTAACCTTCTCTGCTCTAAGGTGAACAACCCCAGCAGTGTCTCCACATTTGGTGAAGTCCCTCTTCTCTTATAAAAATCTGGTAAATCTCCTCTGCTCCCATCTCCAAGGCCTTGACATCCTTCCTAAAATGCAATCCCCAGAGTTGTACTCAATGACACAGCTGAAGCCAAACTAGTGATTTATCAGGAGTCGGCAGAACATCCTGCACTTTTGTGTTGGTTGTACTCTACAATCCTGATTAATAAAACTAAGGATCTGGTTGTATTTTCTGTTAGTCTTTACCCTCTGTTTGAATTACAGTCAGCTTCACTGGCAATGACCCACAGTCCGATACTTCACACCTTTTGTATCCTTTGTCTTGCACAATTTGAGACATTTACATTGGCAGGACTGTTGGGTGCCATTGGGGAGGTTGGGTTAGGGGGAAAAGGCGTCTCATCTGAAGTCCACCATCCAATCAGTCAATGCATAACAATAAAAAAGGAGACATTGCAGGAGTTTTGCTTAGTCCAGGGGCACTGAAGACAACTATCTACTACTACATGGATATTTAACTCTATACAAATCAGTGTAGTAGCAGGTAACAAGGCAACAATGACCAGATAAAAACCAAAAGAACTGTGGATGCTGTAAATCAGGAACAAAAACAGAAGTTACTGGAAAAGCTGAGCAGGTCTGGCAGGAACCGGACCCGAAACGTGAACTCTGATTTTCTCTTCACAGATGCTGCCAGACCTGCTGACCTTTTCCAGCAACTTCTCTTTTTGAATAATGACCAGATTCCTTATTTAACAAGAATTAAGTTTATTCCAACTTTGTCACAGTTAAACAAACTATCTACATATAATTTTTCTAGTTGAAACTCTAACTGCCTACACAAAAATACAATAGGCACAAACAAATGAAAAAAAGCATTGGTGTTACAGGTGAAGGGAAAGGAAAACCTGGGGAATCACAATATTCAATCTTACTAGTCCTCAGGGTTTGATGAGACGTTCTCTTCGCTTCCTAAGAGTTTCTGTTGTTTGATCTCTTTTCTCCGAGTTCTTTCATTTCCTTGCAAGAGGCACAGGGTGATTGGTACATTAGAAAGTCTCTTCATTACTAGTTAAAGGCAACAGCATGCAGCAGCTGTTGGGGAAAGATAATTGCCTTTCTTTAGGCTTCATACATTTGTACAGCAGAAAGATCGGGACATGGAATCTGCTCTTCCAGAAGTCTAGAGACCTCACATTTTCTATCGTAGACACACAAGCTGTCCATCTGCCTGGGAGCCAATCAGAGAGCTGTCATCAGGCTGATGACTGCTGGCATCCACAACTAGTTACATTTGCAAAACCAATCAGCAGACTGTTGCTGGCTGAATTACACTTTACACGTATACCTCAGTACGCCATGCTGTTTTATCTCTCCTCCCTCAATGCATGCAAAGCAGCAGTGTAAACAAACCTCACAATGAGTTCCAGTACTTGTATTTGAAAAGTGGAGCAATTCCTAACCCAATTCTTTCATGAAAAATAGACATTTTCTCATTTTAGTCCATAATTAAATCTACTGAAAAGTGAAATAAAAATGCATTCATAAAGTCATAGAGATATACAGCACAGAAACAAACTCTTTGTTCCAACTTGTTCATGCCGACCAGACATTCCAAGTTAATCTAGTTCCTTTTGCCAGCATTTGGTCCATATCAGTACAAACCCTTCCTCTTCATAAACCCATCCAGATGCCTTTAAATGTTATAATTGTACCAGGCTTCACCACCTTCTCTGGCAGCTCATTCCATACACGCACCACTCTCTGCACAAAAACATTGCCCCTTAGGTCCCTTTTAAATCTTTCCCCTCTCACCTTAAACTGATGCCTTCTACTTTTGGACTCCCTACACTGGGGAAAGGACTCTGGAATATTCACCCTATCCATGTTCCGCATGATTTTATAAACTACTATAAGGTTACTTCTCAGCCTCTGACATTCCAGGGAAAATAGCTCAGCCTATTCAGTCTCTGCCTACAGCTCAAATCTTCCAATTCTGGTAACATCCTTGTAAATCTTTTCTGATCCCTTTCAAGTTTCACAACATGTCTTCTATAGCAGTCTTTGCAAAATCTAGTCCTCTGGACCACAGTGGTTCAATCCCACAGCACAACTAGAAAGGGAACCAACAGAAATGTCAGCTGTGCCCCTTAAAAGGAAAGCACTGTCATTTTATATTCCAAATGCAATTAATCCAAACATTTAATGCCCATTTTGTAGTTAAGAGAAAATAAATATAGTATATTACTATTTACAAAGGTTTCATTTGCTTGCTGGACCTGCAATTACCCTTCATAATGTTGCAGCTGTCGGTTGTCAACAATACAATACTTCACATCTAGATTCCAGTCACAGTTTATTTTAAATCAAATTTTGTTTCAAGGTCAAGTGCATTCAGAAATGAATTCTGCTTGCACACACTGCAACTTGCACAGAGATGTAACATAGAAAGCACAGCAGTGCTTTTCCTTAGAGAGGGGGATTTCAGCAAGTGCTATGGAACTTTCCAGATCCAGGAGATCACAGCCCACAACTCTCTGAAACGTCCACCTCAATATTCGCTGAGATTGACCTCCGCTTCTGATTTTCCACATGCTGGGGGTGGTGGGGAGCTCCTCATTCTCAAGAGGTAGCCCAACCACTGAACTCTCACCCACTGTGTTGCTTTCAGACATGATTTATTCCAAATTATGCATGGCCAGTCTATCAAACTTCACTCTTAACCAGCTTATGTCAACTTTTGCCATCCATATTGCATGTACCCATAATTCCCAGTTGTCTTTGATGACATAAATCAATTTCCCCCATGTGTCAAATTTAACATTCTTAACCTAATGTATAAATCCCCGCAAACCTTGTCTGTCCTGATTTCTCTAACCTCCTTCAGGCCTGCAACATTCTCCTGAACATTCCCCTTGGTTATGCTTTCTTTTCCAAACTGTCTCCCTTCACCCCATCACTTCAGTCACTTCCTTGCTGACCTCTTTGGTCACCCCTCTCATATTTCCTTCTTTAGCTCAGGGCCTATTTTGTTAGTCAAACCTCAGTGAAGTTTGTTGGGCTAATATAAAGTTGCTGTGATGCTAAAATATTATAGTTGTTGGAATGGAAATGCTACTCACCATAATAATTCATGATAAATCCTTGTCCCTTTCCGAAAATCAAGCCAGCAGGATCTGAATGAAATCTGACTGTAAGGTCAGAAGTAGTGGAGTACACTTTCAATGGGGCATTGCTTCCAACATATTGTCCAAGAATCCTCACAGTTAAGTCATCTCCATCATACAAGGATAAAATGTCGCTGTTAGTGAGGTTCAGGCTGTGAAAGAGGAAGAAGAACAAATTCACAATTAACATTCACAATTTATTCTTTTGTTTTCTCTTTCCATGTCCTGACATTGTTGTCCCACATGAGGGTTTGATTTCATGGAGAAGAATCAATCTTCACTGCCTCATGTTACATTCTTTAGTTTAATGCAAACTTACCAAGCCTGCAATAAGGATGATAAAAAAAAAGGGTTTTTTATTTGAAGATGAAAGCCTGTCCACATAATGGTAATTGGGAGGCTAAATAGACATGTATGACCTGTTAGGATTAATGCTGTGTTCTGTCTACTGAGTCATCACATCCTGTCTATAAGTGACACACACACACACACACACACTCATTCTTTGTCAGTAAAAAACCCATCTGGGTTTCAATTCTGTCCTTTAGGGAACGAAACCATTGTCCTTACCCAGCCTGGCCTACATGTGACTCCAGACTCACAGCAATGTGGCTGACTCTTGACCACCCTCTGAAATGGCTGAACAAGCCATTCAGTTGTAACAAACGCTAGAAAATCTACCTAAAGCATGTGGATTGCAGCAGTTCAAGAAGGCAGCTCACCACCACCTTCTCAAGAGGAACTTGGAATGGGTGATAAATACTAGTCTGGCTGGTGATTCCCATATCCATTGAGTGAATAAAATGAAATTTCACACCTGAAATAAAGAAGCCTGAACCCATTCTGAAACCGGGTCCCGGATCTTCACCTTCGTATTTAGAATCAATTGACCTGTGCCTGTTACGCCTCAACACATCTTGGGCCACAAATAATGGTCTTTTGGTAGGATCTTGGGGGAGGGAGTATTGGTTTGGAAATGAGCTTGTGGTGGCGGTGGGGAAGCGGTACTCAAGGAAAATGCTTCCCTCCCTGTCCACAGTAAATTAATCTTTTCCAGCTGCTGCAGAAGAATCCTGATTGTCTGTGCACCACACTGAAAACAAATTTTAAAAAGTGTAGACTTAACAGGAGCTAGATAATATGATAATCAAAGGGCCTAAAGCTTGTTTTTTCATTTGGCCATGTTGATTGAGAGAAGCACAGCAGACAGGACACTGAATGTTGTGTGGCACTCAATGTTCTTCATCAAATAGAACTTTAAAGCCTCATCTGACATGATCTTGATTTGCCATTTCAATCAAAAAGGACAATATCTCCCGTAGTCCACTATCCCTCAGTCACATACTATCATGAGAAAAAGAGAAGGATTTTTCACCTTTCCTGCCCGGAAATTTATGGTTTGGATACACCGGCTGCCTGGAAATCCTTTGAGTGAACCCAAGCTTAGGTTCCTGACTATCCAGGAATCCAGCCCTGAGCACTCAGATACAGGACAGCAAGAATATCATTGACCTCACACGACTGGTCAGGGTTGGCCAATGATTCTGCAGATGTCATAAGCTAGCAACTGGACCACTCGCCTCAGGCTCGCCACAGCTCCATCGTTCATTTCTAACAACCTTGATAAACCTGACCAACCATTCACAGTTTCATGTTACCCTCACAAACATAATGCTGTTATAATCCTTCCATTCACACCTTGTTCTCAAACATTACGATGTATTGAATTATGTACAGCTAGGGTTGGAATAGAGTTAAACTATTAATGAAATAAGGTAGGCAGAGCCTGAGGAAGTTAAACTGATGAGATCTGATTGAATTGCTTTGCTACAGTTAATGGGAAAACAAATTATGTCCAAAAGGGACTCAGGCTTTGCAAGTGCAAGCCATCACCTATGGCTTCCCCAAGGCCTCCTTTCTAGTTGTGGCCACTGCAGCCCACCTCCTTTCTGTACAGCGAATCTCCCATCAATATTCATTAAAGTCTCCTCAGTACCTTGTCCTAATAGTGCCACTGTCCCGTTAAAAAAAATCATACAATATGTCTGCCAATGAGAATAGCATGTTAACAGAACATGTTCCCATTAAATGATTGATTTTATTTGGTTCAGGGCTGTAACTAAGGCTGAGTTTAGAATGTTGCAAGCTGATTGGAGTTCTGCAGAATCAGTCCATATAGGTTTTGTAAATAAAAAGTAAACTCCTTGGTTTTCCTGAAGGCAGCCTGCTCAATAACTTTACCATAGATCATAGAATCTCTACAGCGTGGAAGTAGACTATTCTGCACATTGAGTCCACACCAACCCTCTGAAGATCATCCCACCCTGACCCACCCTATCCCTGTAGCCCAGCATTTCCCATGGCCAATCTATATAACCTACACATCCCTGGATACAATGGGAAATTTAGCATGGTCACCTAACCTGTATATCTTTGGACTGTGGTAGGAAACCCACTCAGACATGGGGAGAATGTGCAAACTCCACACACACAGTCATCCAAGGCTGGAATTGGACCCGGGACCCTGGCACTGGGAGTCAGCAGTGCTAACCACTGAGTCACCGTGCTGCCCCACTTCCTGTGCAGTTAAATGATTGCAGAGTGCAGACCTGTATTAGGTGAGCAGTTGAGCGGGTTCATGCATTAGCAGGGTGGGAATGGGCTTTGGGCAGTGGGAAGTTTATGCAAGGTTAACATCTCTTAAACAGACAGCATCGTTTAGAGGGAGGGCACATTCTAGGTGCAGCAGCTGCTGGAATTGGCTGGGGAAAACTGTCTGAGCTGCAGAAAATGGAGTGATGGAGGTAGGAGGCACTGAAAACACATTCCAATCTTCTCAGATGCCACGCTAGAGGATTTGTTGCAAGAGCTAAAAAAGGAAGAGAGATGTCCTTTCTCCGTGGTGGGGGTGGGGGTACGCTAGGAGGCCTTCTGGATGGATATTGCAAAGGCAATGAGAGCAGGCAGCTGTTGCTGACAAAGCCAGAAGTGTAGGCCTGAGCACTCAGATGAAGGACAGGAAGATCACTGAACTCATATGATTGGTCAGGGTCAGCGGATGAATCTGCAGACAGATATAGAGTCATAGAGATATACAGCATGGAACAGACCCTTTGGACTACTTGTCCCTGCTGACTAGATATCCTAAATTAATCTGGTCCCATTTGCCAGCATATGGCCTATATCCCTCTAACCACTTCCTACTTATGTACCCATCCAAATGCCTTTTAAATGTTGTAATTGTACCAGCCTCCACCACTTCCTCTGGCAGCTCATTCCATGCACCACCCTCTATGTGAAAAAGTTGCCCCTTAGGTCCCTTTTAAATCATTCTCCGCCCACCTTAAACCTATGCCCTCTAGATTTGGACTCCCTCCCCCTGGGGAAAGGACCTTGTTTATTTACCCTGTCCATGCCCCTCATGATTTTATAAACCTCTACATGATCACCCCTCAGCCTCTGATGCTCCAGGGAAAATAGCCCCAGCCTATTCAGCCTCTCCCTGTAGCTCAAACGCTCCATACCTGGCAACATCCTTGTAAATCTTTTTGGAGCCCTCTCAAGTTTCACAACATCCTTCTTATAGCAGGGAGACCAGAACTACACACAGTATTCCAAAAGTGGCCTAACCAATGTCCTGTACAGCTGCAACATGACCTCCCAACTCCTACACTCAATGCACTGACCAATAAGGGCAAGCGTACCTATCATAACCTAGCAACTGGGCCACTCACCTCAGACTCACGACAGCACCATCATTCATCTACGACACTCTTGATCCATCATAGCTCGGACCATTCACAGCTTCATGTTACCCTCACATGCTTAACACTGCTACAATCTTTACAATTCATCTTGTAGCCTGAATACCCTATTCAACAATGTTAGTCAAGCAAATTAAAGCATGCTCGCTGAACTGGTTTTGTCACACATCACAACCCTAACCTTGTATCTTTCTCATTTCAGAGCGTTGAGAGCTGCCACCGGGCACAGCATTGGTTGGAGAGAGAGAAAGAGAGCAGTAGAAAAGCAGGCAGACAGGATTGGCATGATGGCTTAGTGGTTAGCACTGCTGTCTCACAGTGCCAGGGTTCCTGGTGCAATTCCACCCTTGGGTGACTATCTGTGTGGACTTTACACATTCTCCCCTTGTCTGCGTGGGTTTCTTCTGGTAGCTCTGGTTTCCTCCCACAGTCCAAAGATGTGTGGGTTAGGTGGATAGCCCATAGCATCCAGGGATGTGCTGGGTGGATTAGCCATTTTTAAATGCAGGGTTATAGGGATGGGGTGGGTCCAGGAGTGATGATCTTCAGAGGCTCGGTGTGGACTTGATGGGCTGAATGGCCTGCTTCCATGCTGTGGGATTCTATGACAGTGATGAAGAAGAAATGCTTGACCTTAGATGCACAGATACTGAAATTTTAGAGGATAGATTAGAGGCAGGACGAGAGTATTAAGTCGTAATGCTTTCCATACCACTGTACAACGTGACACGGGCATGCTGGCTCTCTTAACTCATTGTGTTCAGCAGGCCATGGAATAGGTTGTTAATACAGTGACAGACTAGATTAAAAATAACCCTTCTCTTTTGATCCATATCTGGCATCTTACAGGTCTCCAATTTTCATCACTCACCATTGTGGGCTAAGACTTTTGCTGACTATATTCTAAACTCTGAACTTTCTTCCTTAAACCTTTATTTCTGTCCAAATATTTTTCTAGTCAATCTGTTCAGAGATATTATTCAGCACCTCCAGAGCAGGTTGGACTTCAACCAGAGCCATCTGGATCAGAGATTGGGACATTACCACTGCATGACAACAGCATCTCCTTCTACTCTCCATTTCTTTTGTTTCTTTTTTGTTCTTTTTATATCTAGAAGTGCTCTTATACACAACTGAATTTTATTCCCCAATACCAAGTCATCCCTGGTATTTTTTTCCTTTATTAACCACCACCTGTAAATATCCTGTGTTTGCCAATTGATTAATTTATGTGCAAGGCCTATTAAGGACATGAAAGATAAGGGAGAGGTAGGGAGAGGGGGAGGGGGTTACACCTAAATGGAGTTGGAAGGGTTAAAATTAACAATGATTTCATGGCCACGTCTGAACTCTTAATTCCAGATTGTTACTGAATTCAAATTCCATTT